AACACATGAATTATTATTTTAATGAATCAACAAGAAAATGCTTCAACACAATGTTTTATTCCTTTATTCTTTTTTATTCTTTCATTTCTACTACTTTTAATATTTTTAAATAACATGTTTTTAACTTAGACTTAATTTTCATTGTTGTCCTTGTATGTGATTATGGATTACAATGAATCATTATCTCATTTAATTCAATTACATGTGATTTTAATCACTGCTAGTAAACCAGCCTTGCAGAATTGTCATTAGTACTTGCAGATGCATGCAAAGCAAACTGGACAGTTGTTTATTGCAGTGCTTGTGGAGAGCAACGGGTAATACCAATTTAGCCTTTTGCCAGACTCATTTTCTCTGGGGTTATTGGCAAAAAGCTATAATAAGCTGTTTTCATTCTCAGCATCTTGGTGGAAAATAAGTTGCCTGAAGAGAACTTTTTAAAAGCTAAATTAATTGCATGCTGTATCTGATTTCCTTGTTTTTCGGCTTGAGTTCAATATTGATCCTTAAGTATTTCTTGTGATCCTTATTACCTGTAATGATCTAGCGTACAAATAGCCTTACATCAGTAATTTTGTCATAATATCTGATTTATAAAATTGTCTCCTGAGATATCCATGAGCTCACTTAATCAGACATGTTATTATGTCATTAGCCAACACAGCTGAGCAAAACAGAGTTTGTTTTCATAGCGGCAGCAGTATTCCAGTCTTGCATGAAATCAAAGGCACACGGAAAATTATAATTTTAAACAGAATCAGAAGATTCAGTGCTTGAGCAAGGTGTTGCAACATCTGATTAACTTCAGGTAGTCCCATGCCTGTTACGTTAATTTGTGTACTGTGAGAAGAAAATAAGAAAAGTAGTTATACTTTATTTAGGATATATAAAAAGCAAGTATTTTATCTGGGACTGTTTTGTCATATATTCTAAATATTGTTAATTTTTCTGTCGCTTCAAAACAAAGGCGGATCTTTCAAAACTGTGCTGGTTACACAAAAAATCAGATGTACCATATACTACAGAAAAGCTGTGGGAAAGCTCTGTGTAATGCCAGATATTCACCAGAGGAAAGATAGAGCCCCCAACACCTGGAAGTATTGTGGCTTCTACTTGGAAAAAAGCCATTACTGAGCTGACTTTCAACCTCCCCTTCTGTGGAAAAACAGCCGTAAATGTTAATGTAGTTGGTGTGATGGATGGCTCACGCATTCTTGTTTGTCACACAGGGCCTCTGCGTGGTATTTGAAAAACTAAATAGGATCTGTTGCAAACCTTGTTTCATATTTTAAGTCTCTTATGCACAGAGGATCTGTTTCATTGTTCTGGGAGAATGATGGGCAGCAACTCTGGCCACTGACCAGGAGAGAGGAAGTCAGATAACAGTATCCTTGAAAAGCAAGGATACTGTGCTTGCACGTTGTGACATATGTACAGTTACACTAATAATTGATGTTTATTGCTATATATTAATGGGAATAGTTTGAGTTTTATTATTATTTAAAATAAGTGGTTTTTGAGGACATGCAGAAGGGAAGAGAGGGGAAAGGGTGCTGTTGAAGGAGAAAAGTCCTTTTAGGCAGAGAATATTCTTTGAAGAATTATCAATCTTTTTTTCTCCTAAAGCCTTCACAAGTAGTGAGTACTTCTGAGAATTGATCTTACTGACAAAATAATGGCAAGATTCAATTTAAAAATACATTTTTTTTCATGTACACTGACCATTTCATAATTGCACTGTGGCTTTTCATATGAGGAGCAGAATAATGGATGCCTTTGGTAGAATATTAATGTAATCTCTCTTCTCAGGGTAACCAGATTGTTCAGGTTCAGTATTTTCTAACTAAAACTCATTTATTTTAGATTTTGAAAAGACATTAAGTGCACAGCTCTATGTTCCTGCACACTGCTGTGATACAGGCTACTGCTTTACTGATCTCTTCAAAAGGGAATTTGCTGGAGGCGATTTTGTATCAGTTATTAATTGAGACTGTTGAAGGAGTTTTTAATATATGGAAGTATTTATTGGTATATGAATTTAAAGATTCTAGACTAAGTCACTTTGATAGTGACTGATTTCACTTGCTGGCTGATCTGTTTGTACTAGCTTTCAGCAAGCAGAATATAGACAGGGTCGGAAACGGATGCAAAGGAAAAAAAATAGGAAAAAAACTCCCAACCTGATAACAAAAATTATCATTGTATCATTGCACGAGGATTTGGGAAATAACCATCAAATCCAGAAGTTTATTGCAACTTTCATCGTAAAGCTGCAGCCTCCTGCACCCCTTTTCAGTATCTGACACATTTGGAAGGGTTATGCCAAGGAAAGCAGTCCCTCAGCAAGCAGTCTGTCTCACTCACCTCCCATAGAACTGCAAAAAGGGTAAAAAAATCCACATCGGCATTACAGAAGGGACTTGTTTTTATTTTCTCATGCCATAGCTTGTTTTGCTTCTCAACCAGGGACTGCTGGGCATACACTCCACCGAATATTGGGTTCTCACACTCTTATCTGGCCCACTTCAGATTTGTAAAACTGTTCTTCAAGGATGATTTTCTGTGCTACTGCATCATGTAATCCCTTGGAAAGCTGCTGCTCTCTCTTGCCTTTCTTTATCCTTAAGCAAGCAGTCTTTGATAGCATCTTTGGAAAATAAACTTCAGAAAATGTTGACACCTAAGTAATCCTTCTGGTTTTTAAACACAGAATGGTGAGTGAGTTTGATTGATTTGAAAATAATTTGTGTCTTGTATCTGCTGAAATCAGAATGCCAGTGTTAGATGCATTAGTTCCTATATGTCCACTAAAAGCAGGACAAAATCCCTCCATACTGTAACACAAAGACCTCTTTCCAAAAAAACCCCAAAAACCAAAAAAATCCCCACAAATTTTTGTTATTAATTTTTAACAATATTTTACTCTATTTTTACAATATTTTAACTTTACGCTTTTACAAACAGAACAAAAAACACCAAACACTTTAAGCATCTGGTAACTATTTTTAGAACACAAAAATTATCTGTGAAAATATACTGTGAAAATATTCTCCAGATATAGGGTGAAGTAGGGTTTTATTTTTTTTCATTAGAGGTGATAGATACTCTTCTTACAGCCTTTTTGAAACTATCTTCAAAAATGCCATTCTTTTCAGTGAACAATAGAATCTCTCTTCTTATTGTCAAAAGCTTTTGGTCTCCAAACAATTGTAAACTTAATTTTCTGCTATCATAAGTAACGCACATTTTACTGAATGACTGCGTGGTGTTTTAAATCTGCACAGTTTTGGAGTTGTAAAGACCTATATCCTGATCATCAGGTGAAAAATTAAATTATTAAAGAATTGAAAAAATGCTCAAGTCCTTAGAAAATGGACATTGACACATTTTTCTTAAAAGCTAAAAACTTACATTATGGTAAAACTTGGATTAATCTGTACAATCCCACCAGGAAAGTATATACGTTTAGAAAAAAAAAAAGGCTGAAAATAAATGACTTTTGGCAGAATCCTCTGTACAATTTCAATAGAAGGCTTTGAAGTCTTACAGGTACTTCACAAGGAAATGAAGACACCCTTTATAAAGCAGTGGTAGCTGTTGCTTCATGCTGAGGGCAAGAGTGAATTGAGAACAAAAGAAAGCAGAGTAATTATTTTATTGAGCGATGTAATTGAGAAATAACCTACATAGCCTGTGAACAGCCTGAAGAGCAGCTATCACTCCTGTACCTCAGTGAAGGTACAGGAGTGATAGCTAGGACAGGTGTTTGCCACCTCAGCCAAGAGAACTATACAGAACAACAGTGAAACAGGACACTGAATAAATAGCTAACTAGCTAAGGTGACAATAAATCAGAAGCCACAGCTGTCATCTGGTGAACATCTCTGTCTTCTTAATGTCCATGGGGAGAAGAAATAAAGAGAATGTGTAGGCAAGAGACAAATGATGGAGGAGTCGGGGGGGCGATTCTGTTTCCATAACCAGGTTCTCCTTGCAAGTGTTTTGTGTGAGTGCATTTCAGGCAGGCACGGTAAGCAGGCAGTTTGAGATTTGTGTCTCTGCCCTCATCTTTTGGGCAGTCAGATGCTCACGCTGAGCTCAGGCTCACTGAGTGGCACACTGAGGGCAGCGAGGAGCGAGCGCTGATTTATCTGCGCCTGCCCTCCCCTACACCCATCAGCCCCAGGCAGATGAACGAGGGCTGCCCAAGCAATCCTGAAGACTGGAGATAATGGCTTTAATCCTAGTGGTCAAGAGAGCAGCCAGGATTAAGCACTACGGTTCCATTTGATTAATGACAAGTGTATTTTGCTGTATTTTAGGGAAGCTGTCCGTTTGCTGCTGTGGAGTGAAACACTATCTGGGTACCAAGCGTAGTTACAGGGTTTACCTCCTGGCTTGGCTTCCTCCTGGAAATTTTACAGCCTCCAGCTGTCATAAAACACATTAAACAGGACCTCTAAAAGCAATTTAATTTTATTTATGATTATAAAAAAAGGAGGCATAGTTCTAATGGGAAATTTGAATTATTTAAAGATAGCAACAGGCAGTATGAACACAACTCCTGCCTACCACTTTCCCTTCATGGACCAAATAGCTGTTTTTCAGAGAATTAATATTCAGAGCAGGTCCAGTTCATCTTACCTGCTGGGTTCATTTTATTATATAATAAAATCAGATTTATTCTCATTTGGGTATAGAGTATATAGCCATATAAGCATAAGCCATTTATAAACAGTTACTTTGCATGTAGCATAATGTAATACCTACCCTCTTAGGTATTTATGAGGAGTATCAAACATTACTTGCCAAAGGGCAGAGATAAAAAGAAGTGTATGGATCTGAACATTGTGCCTGGAGGTGATCACTTGTTGTGTTGGTACCTTTTCAGTTCTTCAGTCTGTAAGAAAAAAAAAATTTAAACAGCTGTCTAGTAAGCTTCTTCAGTGAACTTTTCTCAGTCTGGCAAACCTAAGTCTCTCTTTATATTTTGCTTACAGAATGGTCTTATCATTGCCTGTTACCAAGGCTATGTGGATATTGTAATAGCCTTAGCACAATGCCCTCACCTTGATGTGAACTGGCAGGACAACGAAGGGAACACGGCTCTAATTACAGCTGCACAGGCAGGTAAGGCTCTCTGCATCACCTCTTACATGCAGGGTCTTGGGAGGAATGTGTGTTTAGGCTGCTTTATTTTAGGATTTTTTTTTTTTCAAATCCCTGAAAGAAATTATTCTGTGTAAAATAATTCCAGCCAGGCCCACTCCCAAATAGGTTTGTCGTGATTTTCCTTGAACTATTTAATCTACAATAGTATGTATCCAGCAGATTAAGGGAGTAAAAGCTATACATTTTTAGTAGATGCCATTAATTATTTTAACTTAAAAATAAAGGATTTTCCTTGAACTATTTAATCTACAGTAGTATGTATCCAGCAGATTAAGGGAGTAAAAGCTACACATTTTTAGTAGATGCCATTACTACTAAAAAAAAAAAATCTCATCCCAAGTGTGCAGCATTGTAGGGCTTTGTTCCTTTAAGCTGATTTTCCAATGTTTGCTCTGGCAAGCAACAACTGAACACTGTGGACATGTAATGTGCTGCATTAGTGCTTTTCTCCCATACTTGCTGCACCTACCTCAGAGGGTCTGTAGGAATTGATGGCTGTAGGAAAACATATCATCATTAAGAAATACCCGATCTGCTAAGACATCCTTCATCCACTCCACAGCTGAAAAGTAAAAAACCTCATCAGGATTCAGGATTTGCCAGTGATCCTTTTGTAACAGCTGATATCAACATCGACCATGTTAATTCCGATGCAGGCTGGAGTTTAGCACAAGGTTTTTCTTTTATCCCACCCAGCATGGTAATATACAGTGAAAAAGTGTAACAGATCACTTAGATGTAAGAGAAGCTCCCAGAAGAGTTCCTTCCTTCCTTCCAGTGTTCAGTTAGAAAACAATAATTTGATTATTTCTGTTTAAACTGAAGGGCTGTGCTTCAATCTTTAAGGGAAGGTTTAGTTTCCTCTAACAAGTATTAACAAAGTGCTAAATCATGTAAATCAGGAAAAATTTCTCTAAGGAAGGATGCCATCACTTCATAGTCTAAAAGCTTTTTCAGGGGCTGCCTGGCTCTGCATCTCTGGTTTCCTTTGTATCCTTCAAGCGCACTCTGCAAAGGTGGCCACTTTACAAGGAAATGCATAGCTGGCCTTTATCATGTCTGCTGAGTGGTGAAGGGTCTGGGATGTTTGTGGGAGCTCGTGGGACATAGTCCTCACTCCCAGACACTGGCTACCTGAAGGGAACAAATTTCCATCAGGGACTATCAATGGGCTTTACAAGCCATGTCTGAAGATTGGAGCAGTTCGGTTTCCATGCCAATTTAGTAATAGTGCCACTGGACATTTCCTGGTAGTACCTAGCCTTGCTTTGTGTTGTACCAAAAAGTGAATTCTGTGAAAGTTCCTGCAAGATGGATCTTCACTACTGGAAGAAAGAACTGTGACCACGTTCATAGCAAAGTCATGAGTACAGTAGCTTTCCAAAGAAGGTGGAAAAGTCCCCAAAACACTAATTTACTTTTATTTATCTACCCTAATATAAATTTGAACTAAAAAAGGTTTAACACTGCCTCCTTCTTGACCTTTATAACTCATGATAATGAGCTCACAATTAATCCAGCGGGCTGACATTGACTTGACACTCTCTGCCAACACTTGCTATTGATCCCAAAAGCAACTGGAAGTTACTGTAGTCAACAGAAACTTATACAAACCCCCAATAACTTGGACGTTTTCCCCTGCCTGTGCTAATCCTGAGCTACAGGGTTTACACCAGTTATTTAATTAATTATCACAAGATACTGCTGTAGCATTAATAGAGATTACTGTGAGGCTAACATTGCCACCAGAGGAGTTACAGTGCAATAGATGCTGCTTAATTATTGCTGGATGTTAAGTAGTGACACTGAGCAGTGTATTATAAAGACCTGAAAGCAAAGCTCACCTTTAGTGGAGAATTTATTTGTTGGGGGAGGGGTTAACTTTAGGCTGTGAAAGTAATCACACTTTTGCAAAATAAATTATTCTGAGATCGCTGTTATTTATACCAAAATTATGGGTTTTGCTGTGGAAAGTCTAATAGCAAATTCACCTTATTTCATGTATCTGTGAGATGGTGCTTGAAGGTTTCAGAAAGTGTTGCCATTTTTGTTATGACCCATTGCCAGGTGGGCCAGCATGTATGGCCAGACCCCAAAGAGGAGCTGGATGGGAAAAAATGTGTGGGTCTGAGGATTTGTTCCTTGTGTTTTTGAGTCTGAATCTGCATTATGAGGTATAGATACCAAAAGAGATGACAGAGAGGTCTCTTCACTTGTGCTTAGGAGTTTAAAATCCACACTTGCTTATGCCATTTCATGACTGCCCAGACATTATGCTCAAATATGAGCATCAGCTTGAAATAAATAGGATTAAATTAAAGAGCAACTAGAGTCTCAGAAGATGAGTGAATTCAGTTCCTCATATTGCTTTTGATAATTTGAGATTCTCATCCTCCAACAAAAGTATCCAAGGCTGAACTTTTCTGCATGGGCTGAACAGAGAAAGACAGGTTGGAAGGATCAGTGAAAAGCAGTTCTGTCTTAACAAGCTTATTAGTACAGAAAAATAATCACAAAGTGCTCTGCTTTGTGTGTAAATGTCACATTGGAAAATTGGTCTGTTCGCCTGTTTTCTCTATGTTTCCTATTTCTTATATCCCTTTCCAAAGAGAGCTTGCCTTCCAGCATGCATCGCAGTCTGCAGCAGGTGGTGCACAGAAACAGGTGGCAATGCTATTGAAGCAGAAGCAAAATCATTAAACATCATTATAAGGACAATGCTGAAAAAAAGGGAGAGTGATACAATCATGCAATTGAAATAACAAGTGGAAAAGGAAAAGAAGGAACATTATTTTTTTTTTTCCTCAGTTCTGCTGCTGATGGAGACACAGCTACACCAGGGTACAGTCATTGGCATGCACTGGTGCTCAGAGGGAGTTGTATTCGCTTACAAAGTATAGATGTTTTATGTTACAGCCACCAGTCTGGGAGCCTTGCTGGGAACACAAAATTGGAAGTTATCCCAGTTTCTGTTTATTAAGAAAGACATGAGAACACAAACACCTAAAACACCCAGAGGACAAAGCCTTCTGGGTGTCTTTGGTTCCATCCATCTGTGAGGCAGCATTTGCTACCCGCAGGCCAAACACAGCGTTTTGCAGGTACAGTTCAGGAGTGAGGTGTTATTTGACAAAGGGTCTTCCTTACTCTGCAGCTTATCCTTCTGCCTGTATTACACACATTATTAGGTAATATTGTCATCATTATAGGCCTTTCCTTTGTGGCAGCAATTAAATGAATTAAGCTATTACAGACATCTGTGCTGATCTCTAAATATGGCTCTCAGGGAGAAGAAGTGAGCCCTTGGCATGCCAGTTCTGGTAGGAAGTAGATCTGGCTTGCAAACAGCAAGAGCCTGCTTTGAATTCAGTATCACCAAACAGGCTGAGCCCAGGCTCGTTTATTTTAGAGCTGCACAGGGCTTTCATAGCAGACTTTACATCACAGGAGGCTCACCCAGTTTATAAATTAGGTACAGGCTGCTTGTTCACACAGACACAGGAGAACCAAAGCAAACTTTGTGGCATTAAATCAAAAGCCTATGACAGGGTTTGAACTAAAACTTGGCAGCTCTGAGTTTTGCTTTGAATTTGATATCTGTTTGAACTGGAAATCTGAAGCAAACCTCAGAGGACAGAAGATCCTCCAGATTAAAACTGGTAATCCCTGAGACACAAAACTTCTGTGAGTCACAAACTTCTTAATTTTCTTTCTTATTTTATTGCTGGTATTTTTTTCTGTCTCATTTGAGGCCATTTCTAGTCCCCTGCAGTGTTTTGGTTAAGAAAGGTCTTTCAGGATTAATTCTTAGGATCACCCCAGATTTGCAGAACATCTCTTACTGTAATTATACTTTTGGCAAAAAGAAGAACATCTTTAATGACGTAATAACTGCTGAAAAATATTTTATTATTTCTACTTGTTTCAGCTTGTCTCTGGTTTCTGTGGTCAAAAAGCAGGATTTCAACTGTTCCAAAACCTTCATGAAGACACATGTTATACATCACTGAATCAGAGCATGTCCTGCGAAAAAATTTGGGCACAAGATTCTCCCAGTAGCAACTGACTCCTTTCTAGGATTTGATTTTATGCCACAGAATCAGCAAAGCTGAAATCTCTGTATTGAGTAAGGAGGGCCAGGTCACTTGATCCTGCCCTGATCACAGTTCACTTTTGCTTTGTTCAGCTTGTTGTGGTTTGCTGAAACATTATATTTCATTCCCATCAGACTGCTCAAGGGACAAGGAGCTTTTTATTTGGTTTTCTCTGGCTCTGGAGTTGCTCATCTCATCTGCATTATCTCTACATCTGCTCAGGTTTCATGAGAGTCTCCAGTTATTCAGAAAGGTAGCAGAGTAAAAAAAAATATAGGAGAGGAAGAGTAACACCTGCAACACAAATTAATTGGTAAAGACTTTCTTAACTTGCTTTTCAAAGTGAATGGAAGACTGTGTTGGTGCAAAGTGGCTGCTGATTAAATCTATACCAGATGTGATGCTACAGACTTTTAAAATTGTCATGTATGAATTATAATCTGCTTCAGTAACATTTCTAGATGAATTTGAATGGCATGCATCACGACCAGAATAGTCATCTGGTCTGCAGAGCAAAATGAGAGACTATTTTTACAGCTCTTACTAATTAAATTGTGATTGTTGCAGCTGCCTGACAGACGGCATTATTTTATAGAGCATCAAAGCATCATAAAATGATTGACAAGTGAAGGGAAAACTGTTATGAATGAGTCATAAAGGCCCTAGCTATTCATCTGATAGTCCAATTATAAAGATTTGGTGTCTTAATTGGTCTTCCAACCATTTAGCCAGAGATGTGTTCAGCTTCTCAGTATAGCCTTGTAGACACCAGTTATCCTGGCATACAAGGCACATGAATGGCAACAGTTGCCTTTAGAAACAAAATTTAAATAATTTATTTTACTACCCAAACTGAACATTTAATCCCATTTTCCAACTGAAGGAGAGTAGACAAGTGGCTTTACACTGTCAGATGGAAAAATAAAAATGTGGGATGCTACACAAAATATTCCTTTCTCTTGTATCAGGCCTGGCATGGTTTGAAAGGATTATTGGCTGGAACAACTATGTGCAGTCATCACTTTTTAATGAAGCACCATGATTGCAAGGCTCAAATGTACCAGGGGAGGGAAAAAGCTGAACCTTTGCAATCAGTTACCCCTGGTAATGGGGCATAGGGTATAGGGATTCCCTCTGCAGTGCTACTCACTGGGTCAAGAAACTGGGGCCCCTTGGAACCTTGAAGTGACCATTTCTGGTCTTCAGTTATTCCCTTGCCTTAAACTGACTTTTCAGAAAGGAGAGCAATTTGAGAGAAGGTGGCAACCCAGATTTTCCACCTCCTATCCCAATATTCTGGTCAAAATCAGGGCCACTTAACCCTAAGGCTGATGACTGCATTGAGTGGAAGAGGACACAAAATAAAAATATCTTATTAATTATCTGCATTTTCCAGTTATCAGACCTGCAGGAGTAAATTTTTGGTTTATCCTTGAGACAGCACCTGCATTGTATGACATTTTCCCTGCTTTTTTGTTTCTTTAAAGGCCACATAACCATTACAAACTATTTGTTGAACTATTTTCCTGGGCTTGATATTGAGAAGAGGAATGCATTTGGATTCACAGCTCTGATGAAGTCTGCAATGCAGGGCCGAACAGAATGTGTGAAAGCCTTGATGATGGCAGGTATGCAAAGTGCTTTTCTTCTTCTTTGTCACCATCTAAAAACTACCAAGAAGAAAACTGGCTCTTGTGATGTTTGCTCTGAGAACTCTGGTACAGCCTTCCCTGGAAATGGGTGCAGCCTTTAAATAAGCCATAGTGTAGGCACATGCTGCAGGAGTTTGCTTGTACAACCTCATCCAGGAGCTCTCCTGGAGCTCTGAGGATGAGATTGATTGTCTTCAGGAGAGTCTGGGGAGCAGGATCATCAGAATTTGTAGAACAGAAGTTAATGACATCCATGATACAGGTGGGAAAGACATGCTGGCCACGTGCTGCCGTCTCCATCTGTGACAGCCAGTGCAAAGTTGGGACCACAGCCAGACCTCCATTTCTGCCTTGAACTGTGCTGGGGACTGGAAAGCTTTGGGGGCTCCAGCTCCTGTCAGGAGTGTTGGGTGTAGGGACCACATCCCACCAGGGAACACTCGTGGGAAATCTGGTCACTTATTTTTGTTAATGCCTCTACAGCTCTGAGTTTGGTCTCCAGGTTTATGAGCGATGGGGCACCACCAGGTCTGTGTCTGCTGCAATGAGGGAGCTGCTGTGGGCACAGGGAATGAGCAGGTCTCTCCCTGTCCACCTGTCTCTCTTCACATCTGAGGACAGGAATTATGTTTATTGCTCTTGTCTGCTGTTGAATTTCTGGCTGTGTTGCATTGCAAGGTGAAGGGGTCCTGGAGAGGAGACTCAGAAAGCCCCTCGAGGGCCAACAGCCTCTACAAGAGCAGTCCTAACATACAGCATTTTTCAATCACAGTATTGTATGGGTTTTTTTATATGAAGTAATTGGTATATAAACTGATAGATAACACTTAAACAACTAGCTTATATTAGTGTATATTCTTGTTTTTCAGATGTAAATATAAAACCACAAATAAAATATTGTGGAAATAATAACAAATGGCATGTGAATGTTGTCACTGTCTAGATCAAGAGTCTTACAGGTCCATCTCATTGAGAGATCTTGAATAAGGAGTTCATTTCAGTGATTTTGCTGTTAGACAAGAGTCTAACAGGAGTCTAACAGAGTATTTTAAGTCACATGATTTTATCAAGCATAGTGATATTACCATCCTTCATTCCATGATATCCAGTTTCTAGACATTGATATGACACAGAAAACATGATGTGGTAACTGGTGTGTTATTTTCTGCTAGGTTCTGTAGTCTCTTACTCTGGAACAAAGGCTTAGGAATTGGATCATTCTTTTTAAATTTTTATGACAAAAAATTATGCAACTACTCTCATAGATCGAACATCACTAGAAACAGATGCACTTTCTGGACTCACATATACTTCATGCAGATGCTAGTTCAGAATTTTCCATTGAGTGTTACAAATCATCACTTAAAATGAAACTTCAATCCTATGATTTTCTGACTTGTCAAATTTGCCTTATGGTGTCATGACCTATTATTATCACTAGAGTTCTGAGGGAAGCTTGTTCTTTCTGTTTGGGTCACTAGAAGCTGTTTCACAACCTTTCATCTATGTACATAATTCAGTACTTGTTATTCCGATTCTTATACTAAAATATTAGTATTATTTTTATTATTATTATATAATTATTATCAAAGTTCACTTCTGTGGTTGCTGCCTCTGGCATGTGAATAGCCATTTCTTGTTTCCGTGATTCATAAGAAAACAGAATACTGGGGACAACAAACCTTTATACAGACAGAAAATGGCTTTTTTTAGCCTCCATCTTGAATTTGTCTACAGAAACCTTTATCAGCCTGTTTTTCCATCAGAGATAGTGAGGATACCAAAGATTGTCCACCAACTAAAGATCTGGTGAGTTAATATACTTTTGATTTTCTAAATTGCAATTTCAGGGAGTACTTGCAATTCCTCAAATTTTCAGCTCAAAATAGGGGCCACAAAGGAAGTGAAGTAAATTGCCTGCACCCATTTTAATTTCTGAGTATTTTTTAGCACTGCACAGTTTGGTGAAATGGAGGGAGGGAAGGAGGCAAATTCCCATTCAGAATGGATTTAGAAGTAGTTTGGGATTTAAGAGACACTGAGTGGATGCCAACATTTAAGTACTAGTGAGCTGAAGAATGTAAAAGAAGTTATTAAAAAATTTGGTGAAAAAAATCAATTTCACAAATAAACCAGCAAAATTTGATATTAAAATGTAAACATGCATGGTAACTTAGAGGGGAAACACCCATAATCAATCAGCTGTGGGTCTACTTGCACAGCTACAAAGCAGTTATGTGTGTTTAGAAAAGAGTTACAGCCAGGAGATTTTTAAACCTGGTATCCATTCAGTGGCTTCGGTAAGACCTCTGCTGATGGCAAGCTACTTATGGCAATGCAGGAGGTCAGCAAAGCAAAATAACTCACCTTCCTAGCTGCCTTAGCATGGATTCAGCGCAGTCAGATGGGGAAAGAGGTAACAGCAATGTGTGACAGATGGTCGGAGCTGGATTGCCAAAGTGACTGCTCTTTCTGAAATTTGAGTTCGTGGAGGGGGGCCAAGGTCAATCACTACAAGATTAAGGCACTCTGAGACACTTGGCCATAACGTTGCCCTTTCAGAGGGAGCCCTTGGAACATGTGAATTTGCTGTTTGTGAGGCACAGCAGGTGAAGGGGGGCCCGGTCTCCCATCGGCAGTTTGTCACAGGCTGCTGCGCTGCCAGCACCACGCTGCTGCCAGCGCTCATCAGCAGAGCCAGCCAGAAATGCTGGTTGCTATTCACGTGTCAAGCCCTGCTGTAATCTCCAGTCTAAACTCAGTGCTGCTTTAGTAATGTTGTCAGAGTGGCCCTGGATCTGGAGACTGGGCTTTAAACACCACCCATAAAATGGGCTGGTAACAGATGCCTGAGCCTCCTCAGCCCCGTCTTTAAACTCAAGATGCCAGTTCTGCATCTCAAAAGGATGTGAAGTCATAATAAAATATGATATTTATATCCTAAAGGAGCATACGTGTTCAAATTAATTGTGCTGAAAATGATCTTCAGGGAAACTTCTAGGAAAAGCAAGGCAAGTGGCAAGTGCAGCATTCCTGAAAGAAAACTTGTAGGCTATAGTTACACTGAAATGACAATTAGTTCAATAAGACTGCTATCACATTCACAAAGGGACATGACTACTCATGTATATTCCAGATAAGGTATTCTGCTGAATGACAAGTTTGTTCAGGAATGTCTCCTGATTTGTGCAGAAAATCAATAAAACCATGGTAAATCACACCTTAGAAGAGATTTTGTGATGCAAGGTACAAAGTCAGCATTGATTTCTGTTGGTAGGTTGGGATTTCAATACTCTGTAGTGTTGTTTTCTGAGACAGAGTTTCCAAAACACCTGGGGACCCATCTGTCAGAAAGATAGGGCTTCTCCTCAGGGGAAGGTGAGCCAAGCAAGGCCTCAGCACCAGCCTCATCAGCAAAGGTGCTCCTTTAAGGAACATGGCAGGGCTGGTGACAATAACCTGGATCAGGCAGCACTGCATTGATTGCTAGGCAAGTCTATGATGACAAAGGCAAGTTCATAGAGACAAGGTAGGTCTGAGGTCAAACAAGAAATTAAGTCAGTGGGTCAGGGTCCAGACCAGCAGGGCACAGGAATAGTCCAGACAAGGACCAGAGCTGAGTGCAGCCCCCAAGCAAAGGTGGAGAGCCCCCAGAGAGCACTTTCTCACACTGGTCTTTTTGAACTGCTTGCCTCCAAATTCTCACAGCTGCACCATATCAGAACTGGAATGGCTTTTTCTTGAAGATAATGGTAAGCAGCTGTCTCTTGCTTGTTTACAAGCTGAGAATTAGATTTTTTTGTTTGAAGACAATTCCTATAGCTGCTTTTCTTCCTGTGTTAATTCCTTGCCATATGTACATCAAGGAAACAATTTCCACATAATTTGCCAGTCACAGCGAGCTCTTTTGGGAAGTTCAGACTCAGGCAAGTGTTAAGAAGGGACCAGGGAAAAAGGCTAGCTGAGATGAGAGAAATTCAAAGATAGGAAGTTTGGGTAGGGAGGCTCAAAAAGAGGTTAGTGAAGCAGGAGGTATGTGTTGGTATGTCTTTTTCCCTCCCCTCACTGATTTATCTGTAATTTCTGCAGTCATGAACTTCATCAAACCATTCTGCTTCTGAGATTTTGCAATCCTTTCTTCAAATCCGCAGCTCGTGAACTCTTAGATTTGATTCCTTCCTTCTCTTTGGCTCCTTTCTGCCTTCCAATCCGGGTCCTATGCTTGACTCCCTGCTGTGCTCTAAGTGTCCTTTCTGCAAATTTCAGTTAAATTACACTTAAACTGTTATCAGCTTATTTTGCTTAGGGTGTCTCCTTCCACATCCATTCTCGATCTATGTCTCCAGCATCTTCTCTTTAGGGATTTTCTCAGAGACTTAGGAACTAACTTAACAAAGCTGAGGTTTTTATCACTTTCCCCATGTTCTCTTTTTGCCTTTATTTTCCTGTAATGACAAAACATCCTTTGTGGGAAAGGTTATACTGAACCCATCTGATCTGATGAAAACTGATTTGTGGTTGCTTTTCCTTATATCAACACCTCCTTATTCCAGTTTGAAATGCTGTCTCCAAGATAAACCAGGTGGAAAAAAAATTATTATTATTCTTTGTACCAGTATTCTTGTAACAGTCTCATTACCAGTATTATCTGGTCCTTTCCTCAGATATCTGGGCACCTCCTTCTTGTGAAGCAATGGTATAGACTGTCACTTTTGTGACAAGATCTGTAGGTCAGTTTTGTGTTGGCTGTTTGAAAATGGTCCTTCATTTGGTAAAGAAGTCCTTCAATAAATCAAGTGTTCTTTGTATCCCAGCTTTAAACTCTTTCAAGAAACCCAGAAACTATCTGCAGGGACAGAGATATGAGTAAACCATGACTAAATGTTGCAGAGCTCAGTATGTTGAAGGCAGCTGGGCAAAGTGCCCGTGCCTGTCCCAGGGAACAGATCTGCTGAACAGTCTGCAGACTGGAGCGTGCAAAGCTCCCTCTGAGATCAGTCAAAGTTCAAAGGCAGAATATAAACCAAAGGATTTTCAGTTTAAGAACCTGTCTGCCTGACACCAGAGAGTATTCCCTCATTCTCCCATTGATTTAATTCATTCACCTTCACACCCACGTACTGTTAAGCATCAAGATGTGTGTGCCCAGGATCACTTGGATGTGAAGCATAGGACATGGTGCCAATCGTCAAGTCCTTGACATGTCTCTGAGATTCTTTTTAATTGGTGCCACCAAGCCAGTTTTTTGACAGGTCTTTTGTATCCTTTAGCATTCACCAGCTGTAATCTGCTGGCTGTTTGCAACAGTGTCCTGCTAACTTCAGCTTCCAGAACCACTTGCTGCTGCTCATTGTTCTGCAGCAATTCCTCCACAGGTGCACTTGGAGTTGAGCTTCCTTTGTTCTTTGCAGAGCTCTTCTCTGTCAGCAGGACTGGGCACATGCCACCCTCACTGACAAATACCCACAGCCCCTAATATCATGGGAGGACTTCCCTGCAATTTTCTGGTTGCCAAGGAATGTGGGTACAGTACAAAAGAAGTTGTAAAGGATACCATAGGGCAGACTAGGATGCCTGCTTCTGGTGATACTCTTGTATCCTCTTTTCAAGCACCCAAGTCATGGGAGGACTTCCCTGCAATTTTCTGGTTGCCAAGGAATGTGGGTACAGTACAAAAGAAGTTGTAAAGGATACCATAGGGCAGACTAGGATGCCTGCTTCCTTGTATCCTCTTTTCAAGCACCCAAATGCCCCGGAGGTAACTCCACTTGAAAACAAGAGTGAAGAACAAGGGCAAAAGCCAATGTGTGGGGTCTTGTAGGAAGATGGAGAGAACAAAAGGAATGCAAAGATGGAAAAAGATGCTGAAATATGTGAAAAAAAAAAGAAAGAATGGTGATGGGGACAGATGTCAGAATTGGAGAGATAAAGATCATAAACTGGGAATGGGAGGAGAACAGGCTACTTGAAATAATTTCCTTCCAGGACATAACACTTCAAATGTCTAAGCCTCTGCTGTGTAGCCTGTATCCTAGCTGCCTCTTGTGGCTGGTTCACTTAGCAATAACAGAATGTTTTGGCTAACAATTACTTTATTCCCTTAGGGCTGGTAATCTCAAGTAGATGAGAACAGCTGTTCTGGGTTCAGACTCACCCATTGGTCCATCTCACCCATTATCCACTCTGACATTTATGGAAACTTTCCTTATATTTAATCACCCTTGTTACCATCTTCTCAACATTTCCTAATTCTGCAGGGTCCTTTCAGACATAAGAGAGCATGAATTGCACATTTGTGGTTTTCTCTATTTCCCCTTTTTTTGCTTTCTATTTTCCCCTGTTTTTAATGCTTTTTAAGAAATTAATTATTTTTATTTGCTGTTTTAACCCCTAGTGAGCAGTGAGTGGATATTTTCATGGAACTTGTGATCATTAGCCTATGACTTTTCTTCCAAGTGGAAGTGACCAGTAAAAAGTCCACTATTCTATATGGGGAAGGATTTCTTTGTAGAGAATTGTTTCTGTCCATATCTGTAACTCTTTTCTTGTAAGCTCAAGTGAATGGATATTAAAATAGCAGTCAAGATTAAATGCAGGTGAAATTCATTATTTCATTATTTGTAATTTTAAGATAATTTCATATATGCAGTCTTAATGTCTTTTACCTTGTTCTAAATAAATAAGGAGTTAATAAAGTCAGGAACCAGATCTATCCTTATTGCACATTAATTTTGGCCCAAATATTATTGTGTATTTTATGTGATATTTTCTTGTAGGGATCTGCCTGACTAACCTCTGATCACAGCAACAGGAATGTGGATGTTTCAATTAATTAATGCTAATTGTTTTTCTTTTGAGGGGCAAATGTTCATGCAACTGACCCAAGCCGTGGACTGACTTCTTGGGAATGGGCTTGTTTCACCGGAAGATCAGAGTCCGCCTTCGTCATGCAGAAGCTGATGGACAGGCCATGCCCAGAACAGTTTTCTGATCAATATAAACCAGAATGGCCAAAAATGAAGGAACTTCTTGCCAAGGCTGCAGAGCCAAAAAGCTGTTTGCAGAAGATTTCTGAGTGTGTAAGGGCAGCTGTCTCGTTCCGGTCTTTCTATGGCCCAGAAGAGGATGGGGTCCTCGACTATATGGTGAAGGTGACAACAAGTTTGGGAAGTCCCTTCGTCGCTCTGGGGTGCCGGACTGTGTGCCCAGGCAGCCCACCTTGTGTGGGGAAACGCAGACTGGCAGTGCAGGAAATCCTTAGGAAGCAGAGAGCAGAGGAGATCCGATCTCAAGACAAAGATCACGTCAGCAGCTACGAGAAGCTCTTTCAGAACTCCAAAGTCACCGTGGTCCCCAAGAAGAAGGAGCGTCGAGCCAGCCTGCAGCCCTTCAGCATGGCGATGTCCCAAGTGACCACAGTAGCCACGAGGAAAGCAAGCCTGCTGCCGCTCCACCTGCTTCGACGCAGCAGCGTCCGGCCGGGGTTTGTCATCCCCAAAGTCCGTGTCAGCAAGGCTCCTCCACCCACCTTCCAGCCAGAAAAGGCGAGGAGGAGAAGCAGCGCCAAGGAGGACCCCTATCTGCAGATTCCCAAGTGGAGATACAAGGAGCTAAAAGAGGAGCGGAGGAAGGCAGAGGAACTGGAGAAGAATAGAGCAGCAGAGGCTCAGAAGCCCAGGCAGGGGTCTCCTGCCCAGAGCAGGACCTGATTTGAAGGTAGTTGCTGAGAAGGTTCTTGAGCCGCTAGTCTTGTTATCCTAGCAAGATAACAGACTGAATGCCTTCATGCATGCCCACTGCTCATGGAGCTGGAATACTGAGTCATGGTCTTTAAGGAGCAGAAATACAGCAAGGGCCATGCCACAGCAAGTCTGATGGTGGAACAGGAAGGTATTTTGAGCTGGAAGACTTACTGGGTTTACTGGTCTGCTGTTGACAGGACGTTCTCAGTGGTGCAGTCCACTTGTGGATTCCTGTTTTTCCAGCTCCCGGTGAATGACTGTGAAACAGCTTGAAAAACGTGTTTGAAAGGATTATATCTTGTGTTTGTTCATTTTGTAATGGACAAAACTAAGCAGTTGTGCTTTTGACACTAGAAATTCCTCCCTCTTCTTCCTTGGGTAGACGTATTGCAAAGGTTTATAGTAATACTTAAAAGTTTAGAATTTTAGCACAGTGTTGGTTGGCAGTGAAAATCCAGGTCTACGGTTGTTTTGGATATACTAAGCACTTTATTTCTATTCCGGTAAACAGATTTTAAGTACAGGTCTATACAGTCTGTATGGATGCAGTTCTTAATGCTATTATTTGCTGTGTTGAACCTAAAAAGGGCTTAATATCTGTGCAGTTGAGATATTCACATCTTCTGCAAGTATAAATCAGGTGCAGAGACTGATTTCTTTGAAGATATATAGAAGATGAGACAATTTTTGATTGCCACCTTCACCTAAGATTTGCCTCCCCCAATAGATTTCCCTTTATCCATTATCTGTTGTCTCCTTTTTAGTCTCAGGGAATATTTTGTCATTGCTTTTAACTGTGAAATAAGGGAGATGGTGAAGCACAGTGGATATTTTTTTTAGGTTGGTATTTAAGTTTCTTTTTAAAAAACTCACCAGGTTTATTGTCAGCCTTTCCAGGATATAGCCAGGACAAGAATATTATGCAGCTTTCAGAGGTTCAGGCAACTTTCCCAGGTGTCAAGTGCAGCTACACGCTGTGAATGCCCAGTCAGAGGTGCAGTACCAGGCAGCTCAGCCACTGACGTGGCCAGATGTCACTGCAAGCTTTGGCACCGCACCTCTGGGTGCCCCAAGAGGGCAGTACCTCACCCCCTGTCTCCACACTGAGAGAAAACCTACGCTAGTATGGAAGTGCATCTCCAAGTGGCAGTTCCCATGGGTTGCTGCAGGTTTTTCTGCTCCACATTAAGGATTCTTCTGGTTGTACCAGCAGTCAGCCTGAACAGCAAGCCAAGCGCTGGAAAATTCTGATAAGGAAGGGCTGTAAACCTGCTGCTGGCTGAGGAAAGACCACACTTACAGAAGTAGAGGTCCAATGCAAACAGCACAGAGCACATGCTCAGGGTAAGGTTTTGCTCAGGCTTTGCACACATTTGAACTGAAATGTGCTGCAGTGTGTCCTCCTGAAGATGCTGCTGTACTGGAGCCCAGGCAGATCCCAGCAGCTGCAGCTGCTGACACCAGTTTCTCCCCAAAAGAGAGGGGAAATTTTTCCATCCTTTAGTCCCACAGCACAAAGGCTGGCCACAGTCTCACTGAATTTGTAATGAAACTGTGGATGTCACGGGAGAAATAAATTCAGTTGATTGAAAACTAGAGCCCAGATCAGCACTGCCATTTCCTGTCTGCGGGGTCTGACAGAAGTTAGGACAGATATGGGAAACAAGAATTTTCTTTGTACTTCTGTGCTGGCCAGACTGCAGTGCCAGGTGGCATCCTACGTCAAAGCTGGAGGAATACACACCTGCCAATACACCTGCCCAGTCCTGGGAATATGAATAGCATTTTAATCTGCAAGTGCATCAGTGCTGTGCAATTCATAGGCACCAATTTTGTAATGGCTTTGGGGTGACCAGAATACAAGCTGAACTCATTTCTTTGGAAAGCAGAAAGACAATCTTTTGGCTGGTTGTGGCAAAGGTATCAGGACAGATTTCAAATTGGTACACTGGATTGAATGTTTTAACTGTTAACTGTTGTTTACTGCCAACCCAGGGTTTTGAAGATTTAGCATTCATATTTGGTTCTGAAAAGCAACCTGTGCTACAGCTGAGCACTTGAATTTGCACTTTCAGTACCACCTGCAAGAGACCGACAATGGACAGGTGCACTCAGGGATTAACATACAGTATGTTAGAATTAGGGGCTGGAAATTAAGCCTATTTTCTAATCCTTTGTACTTTACTGTGTTTATGTGCATAAATGTGATATTTCCATTAAAAGAGGCACAAGATGTAAAACTTATTAAGCACTCTTATTCTTCAAAAGGGTTGGGGGATGCTGCTTTTCAGTTTCTTGTGGATCTAAAAGCCCATTCACTTTCACCAAAAGACTCATCAGCATCACCCAAAAGCAGTTTCTTTTCCCTGGAGTTATTGTGGGTCAACTTCACACTCCTTGTGAATTTTTCCCTGGGAGTTAAGGAAAACTATTGCATTTGTTTCCCATCAGGTTTTCACTGGTCATCTTGCTGGAGAGAGAACTCATTGCTTTGCTGGCCTGTGTCCATGTTGCACGGCTGCAAGCAGCTGGTCTCCCAGTATCCTTGCTGAGAGTGTGACTCCACTTGGGGCATCTGTGTAAAGCTTTGCACTTGCTAGTTTTGGCTGTGCAGGCCACAGGTTTCTATGTCTTCACTGCTTTCCTCCCCTGCTGCCTCACTGCTCTCCAGCTATCTTCCCCTCTTCATCTCCATCCTCACCCTAAAGGCTGCACCCCTCACTTGCTGTTTATCTTACCTGTCTGAAGGTTGCAGTGGGCAAAGCTCCCACAAAACACTTCCTAAAACCTGTGGCAAACGGACCACAGTGGAGGAGGAGGAGGAGGAGGCACACGTGGCTTGCTTTCAGCCATCTGTCCCCTTGAGCTGCTGCTGCCGAGGAGGATTTGAGTTCTGTTGGATTTCAGCACAAATAGAGTGGCTTGATCTGTGTTTTGTTGTGGATTTTTTTTGCCCCAAGAGATCCATAACTATGAAATGCCAGGCAATACTGGCTGTACTTCAGGTTGCTCCTGCTCACTCAAGCAGCACAGTTTACCTCTTAAAAAAGAGCAAGCAAACTCTTGGCAGCACCTCCTGGCAGCTGGAGCCCCTGAGGGAAGGCAAAGGTGCTGCTGCAGAAAGATGCTCCTCAGAAGGAAAAGGGACATTAATTCCTAGGGCAGAGGGAGGTTTTCTACCTGCCTTCAGTGCCAGGCTGTAGTGTGGCACATTAGTGGGAAGAATGTCCTGGAGTGGGAGCTGTGTCTGCCATCACAGCCATTACTTGTCTGAGTACCATGGGAACATCTCACCACACTGCTCCCAGGAAGCTCCCAGCCCCTTGGGCCAACCTAGTTCTGCAGTAACTGTATTAACAGGGATTTAATGACAGTGACAGTGGAAGGTGGAAGTCCAACTGCTTCCCAACATTTTCTAAAATTATATTATTGCCTCATCTCTGGTAAGGAAGAGCTTTAGCATGGGGGTTCCCTGTAGCCTCCCTCCCAGAAGGCACCAACTTCCCCATCACCCAATACCAGCCACTGTGCTGGGCATCATCCAAGTAAGGGAATAACCAAAAAGTATTCATAGATACCTCCAAAGGTATCACAGGCAGTCACAGTGTTAGAAAAGAAGCCTGAAAAATGAGAAGGACCAATTCATCTTATTCTGGAGAACAGGAATTTTCTTCTGTTTGGCGAATTCCTATGTGCAGCTAAATGCAGCATTTATGGGAAAACTTTGTGAACTCTGGACCCTTTTTCTTTGGCTGTGGAGCTGCTGACCACTGGGAAGTATAAATGATATCAGCCAAATCCATGCTGAGACTGAGATGTGCTTTATAATGCTAATTATGCTAAATATGGATATCCCAGACTGGGCAAACTGGATGCTCCAAATCAGTTCCCCACCTATATAAACACCTATATCATTAAGTTTTTTTAATTATACATGGTATTACACTTAACCATATCTATAAAACTAGCTACAGGTAACACAGGCACACATAAACATCATTCCTATAAAAAATGAGATACATACATAAAACATATATATAGATATATATATAAATTAAAAATTTTTAACATATATTATTAACACATATACATATAAAAAGCCTCTTACCTCCTAGAGATAATGTGGAGCACTTATATATGTTAATGATGACCATCTCTCAAAAAAGCCAGTATTAAATAATTGTTCTGTAAGAGGAACAAATCATTTGGGGTATATTATGGAGGCTACAAAGGGAAAACAGACCAGCTGCCTTTTCACTGAACACTATGGAGCACTTGCATGAGAAGAGGCAGGGTCTTTTGTGAAAATTGTACTTCACTGGATAATTAAAGTTATTATACACATTAATTTTGCATAGTCAGGTTTAAATTTGCCACTTCTCTTGGCACATTTGAATTTGCAATGGTTGTAGCATGCTTTTATATCTATAAAACTGTGCAGAGGTTTGTGGATAATTAGTGAGCCAAATGCTCCTGTTTCAGTTGTCTCTCAGGGAAAGAGAAGAGGTTGGGAAAATGGGTTCAGGTGGTTCATTTTCCCCTTCCTGTTGTAGCAGCTTCCCACACGAATGACAGTTTGCTTCTTTGCCCAAGCCCTTCCTCCCAAACAGCTAGAAAATGAACAGAAACCCTCCAGAGGCAGATGTGCAAAATCTGTGCTCGTGGGTGCCGTCCTGGATGCATCCAGTGATTTCTCACAAGGCACTGATGGAGCAGTGAGCTCCTGTAAATGTGGATCAGGAAAGGGGCACAGGAGCTGCTGGAACATCTGTGCTCCGTGTGTGTGCGTGCCAGTGGGATTTTAACTCTGGATGCCATAGTAACTGAAGTCAGCTCTGAGAGGTGTTAACCACCAAAGGTGCTTCCTGAGCCTCTGTGCACAGCTTTCTGCTGACAAAGGTGATAAAATATTTACTTTCACACCACATGCAGCAGCAGGAAGTTAAGGTTTCCTTGTGTTTGCTGCC